CAATAAGGACACAATATTAATTAATTCAACCTATTTATGATGGGATTAGAATATTTTTCATCCACCATGTCCTCGAATAAGCGATTGTTTGACTCATCGTGTATCAGTCAGTTATTCAAAATCAAATATTAAAAATCACACAACTGACCCAATTCACCATCCACAAATGACACGTAGCCAGTATCTGGCCACGTGATAAGTAGACTATGTCAGAGTCCTTCGCTCTACGTCTTAGATACTCAAACCAAACACTAAATCTGTTTTCGCAAATTATATTAATTCAAACAATTTATTTTCGAAAAGGAACGCAAATATATTTAAATTAACTATGTAATTAGTCTAACAAACTCCACTATTCACACTCTTAGACCGCGTATGCAGGAGATTCAAATATATTTCGCGATCCATAAAAAACACAAATGACACCGCGAACTATGAAATGAGTCTCTGATTCCTCTTAAGAGGATACGTAGGCATACGATTAAAAATCATGGTGAGTCTCGCTAACCATAATTCAAATCCTTTTCCTTAATAAGCAATTAAAATCCTATTTCCTAAAATATCACACTTTTAAACCTAGTATCCTTGTGAACAAGGTAGAGTTGGAGTGCCTAACACCTTCTCCTCGTCTAGAACTGAGTCCAAACCTAGAATCTCTGAATTTATTTTAGGGTATTCCTTTATACTCCCTTCCTTTAGGATAAAAATTAAGGGTGGCGACACTATTTAAAACCAGTTGCAACACTCCGCAGCTTCTCAATTCTTTAGTTCTTCGCTTAGAGCATACTCACAGATGAAGTTAGATGCTCTCTTGGTGATGATCTTGTTAGATATTATCGCCACTTATCCACCATGCTCTACTCCTGTGTTGAATAATATTTCCTGGATAGGAGGAAACTGCGCTTTGCCTTTCAGGGTAGCCTTTGATGATTCGTAGCCTAGACCAAAACAATTCTTCTTCTCAGGTATCTCCACAAGTTTACCCCAGCCTTTTGAGGTATCATCGTCCATAGTTGTTTGTAAATCTCTCCACGAAGTCACAATAGGTTTCTTGATTTCCTCCACCGGTAGGGTTACCATTGAAGTAAGCTCTAAGACTTGAAATGGTGTTTCTATATAGTCTTCATCTGCAATTATGTATATGTAGGACTCTATGACTTACAAATATGTCATCTTCACCATCGATTATAACCAATCCCACTTCAACGAAGAACTTCAATTTCAGATGTAGAGTTGAAGTAACAGCCCCTACTGCATGAATCTGTGGTCGTCTGAGAAAACATGTATATGCTGGTTCTATATCCATTACTTGAAAGGTAATATAAAACATATGCTGATCGATCTTTATAGGAAGATTCACTTCTCCAAATACTGTACTTTAAGAACCTTCAAAAGCTTTGACTATCATAGAAATTGGCCTTATAACAACACCATCTAGTGTTAACTTCATTAGGATGGATTTTGGTAAAACATTAAGGGGAACACCAGTATCGGTGAGTACCCTGGACATGTTAGTTGTACTTATCTAAATGGAAATGTGCAACACCTTGTTGTGAGCTCTACCTTGTAGAAGCAACTCGATGTTATTGAAGCCTAGGTGCGATCTATATGTTAGATTTGCTACGCCATTGTTAAATGGATTCAATATAATCTCTTGTGAAACGTGAGCAGCAGATAGAACCTTCATTAAATAATCTTGGCGCACTTCATAATTGAGGATCCACGAGAGTATTGAAATCTTGGATGGGGTTTGGTGTAGTTGATCCACCACCCTATACTCACTTTTCTTGATTATTTTCAATAATTCCTCTGCCTCTTGGTCGGTTAAATTTATTCTTGGAGGTTCTTGTTCTTTACTTTCCTCTATCACTACTTTCTCTTTATCCTTAACCATAACATCATTTTTCTTCTGTGGTTTAGGACCATAGATTCGACCACTGTGAGTCATGCCCCATGTTCCTGCTATATTTGTGATTGCAGGTCCTTGACTTGTCGATGACTCACATTCTTGCTTTAAACCATTAACATATATAGTAGAATCATAACTCCATGGCACAAATTTGTTACTTTCGTACGACATGGAGGATGGTCCCCTAATCACCATTGTAGTTTTTGGAATTATTGGAATTCTCACAGTCTGGCGTGGTAACATCACATGTGCTTTAGTTGATTCTCCCCATGGAATCACAAGAGTTTTCTTAGCAAGATCCATCCCTTGGCAAGCAATTACCAATGGCTTCTTTGCACCTCCATCGATCATTGCTATGTATTCTTCTTTAGGGTATTTCCTGAATTAGACTATCCCCTGATCCAGCAATTTTTATAACATATTCTCTAAATATTCATTGTGTTCCAAAAGGAACCCACATTCAAACCAATATTATTTCAAAAAATTAATTGGAGCCTTTGCTCGTCTGGCCGCCCCAAAGTCAACCACCACTTCAATCGCATTCACAGTTGGCCCACCATGTGGAGGCATGGGGTTTATCTTGGTATTTGGTTTATCAAAGGTGATATATTGGGAATCTAATAAATCTTAAACCTTATGTATGAAGGCCTAACATTTTTCTATGGTAGGCCCCAAAGAATTGGCATGATACTCGCTCCTAGCATTTGCATCGTACTTTGGTGGGAGTGCCCCAATTGGAGGAGCTAGTGGCTTCTGCTCCACCAAAGATGCCTTGAGTAGATGTTGTAGTAATTGACTATGAGGCATGGGGAGAGGATCAAATATTCTTGGAGGCCTTTCAAACCCGTTTTGTTGTTGTTGTTCCCATGGAATTAGCAATGGTTGTTGTGCCCTTGGATGTGATGCGATAACATTAATTTCTCCTTCCTTCTTTTTCGAGAAGTTAGGAACATGTCTCTTTGAATTATAAGGGGTTCTAGATGATGCCCCTTGTATCTTCCCACTCTTTATATCTGCTTCCTTCAATTCTTTATACCTTGTAAAGTACCCATGAACATATTGACCAATTCTTTCTTTGGGAGTGATGGTTGTACACAGGCTACCATTTCTATCCACCTCTGAGCATATTCTTTAAAGGACCCATACTTATTTTGAGGTAAGTTATGGAGTTGCATGCAGTTAGGAGCCATGTTCAAAGTGTACTTGTATTGTCTCAAGAAAGAATTGGAAATATATGGCCATGTTTGCATATGAACCTGCTCCAATTGCATGTACCAATCTAAAGATGCCCCAGTCAGGATGTCGTGGAAGAAATGAATCATTAGTTTCTGATCGTGAGCGTAGGCATGCATATTCCTGCAATACATGCATAGATGGTTCCTCATACATGTAAGTCCCTTGTTCTTTCAAAATTCAGGTACGTTAAATTTCGGAGGGATCACCACATCAGGAACTATACCCATTTTGAGAGCATCGACATAGAAAACATTGTAATCCTCCACAACCTTCAACCTTTCTTCAAGAGATCTATATTAATTAAGCACCAAGGGATTCTCAACTGTCTTAGGTGGGTGCTTCCAAGTAACACCTTCTAAATCAAGGTCTCCATATGTAGGTCTAGGTAATTTTCCGCATTGTTGACTAGAATATGCAAAGTATGGGACGCCTCTACCTTCGGTGGAGGTAGGACAAACTCTTCAATATCAGCTTGCCTGACCTCTTGTTATGCTATAGTTGACTTGTGAGGTCCTGAACCTGGTTCTCTTATTGGTTGGTGACTGCTCGATGCACCAATAGTTTGTGATAATTCTTCTAAGGCTGCCCTAAGAATTTGTTCCTGCCTTTCGATGATGTTCTTCAAGGCTGTCATACTCCAAATTTGTCCTACCTTTTTACTTTTATATGGCTGAGGTTTCACATTTCGTTTGCATCATTTCCTCTAAATTATTTGCATGTCATGCATTCGTTCCATCAATAAAGCATCAGTTTAAAACATCAGTGGTTGTGCCATCCGGGGTTTAATTTTTGTTTGAGGTTCCTTCATCAAATAAATACAAATCAGTTTGGTTCTTGAATAGTGGACTATGCAGAATTAGGGTTTTGGAGTGTGGTTATCATGTATTTCTTGTCTTATCAAGTTACAAGGCTATTCTCCTTTTCTCAAGCATCGAGGCGCGAGGTTTCCTCCGTCAAGAACCAATATTACGATTTATTTCCCCACACAAGCTCAAAGATCATGGGTTAGGTGTTCTTAAAAAGTATTTCAACGTCGAATCTTGTAAACTAAGGTTTTGAGGTTTTTTTTTAAGAGAGAAGGCATTGATATTTCTCTTGGGGATCCATTGATCATTAGTGCAATAATTCATGTTATTTTAGTTGCAAGGCGTGCATCATGGTACGAACGAAAATGCCTCAGATTCAAATTTGGGATTAGAGTTTCTTCAAGAGATTAGCATGGTTTATAAGGTTAACTTGGGATACAAGCATCAAGTTGAAGTTTATCAAAAGTTTAACATGAATTATGGACAAGAAGAAATCAAAAGTCATTTGATCAAAATTTCTTTAGTGTTGGCAAGGATTCTCATCTTTTAGGCAATGTTAGTATCAGGAAGTCAAGGATTAATCCATTCATGATTATTTTCTTGAAATTCATGATTCAAGACTGGGGTATGATTCGAAGCTATCACAAATCCATCCAAAGTTTTACATCATTCATTTTGGCTCGAAGAGTAGTTCATCCATAAGGTTTCAAGGCATACAAATTAAAATTCATTATGGGAGGAGAATGTATTTGGAACACTTGGGAGTTTTTGTCATTTGAATCCAAAGCTTAGTCCATAAGTTTCTTATACTTAGATTAAAGTTTTGAAATCTCAATAAAGCATTACAAAAACACATTCAAAATTCAAAGTTTCCAAATTCATTTAATTTCCATTCAATTACAAATATATTATATCTAAATAAGATATCATTTCCATTCAATTGGTAAATATGCATTCTTTAGATACAACACTACAAATTTGATTCCTAAATTTCAATCTTCAAGTTTCAAAACCTTTGCCTAATATTCAAATCTTCAAATAAACCCAAGTCAAATGTGCTGCTTCCCAAAACCGTCTAAACTTTGCACAAAAATAGTCCAAATATTTCCAAGAAATCTTTCTACTACTGCTGCCCACAAAACTACAAAAAACAACCCTGCATAAACCAGAAAATGACTTTGTAAAATAGTCCAAAAACCTGTATAAAACCAGTCCAAGAATTCAGCCATACTACAAACATGTTGCTGCTCTGCTACACACTTGTATAACCAGTCCAAAACCTTGTTGAAACCTGTCCCAAATTTGTCCAAGAACTTGCTGCAAACTGCTCCAAACCTTACACAAAAACAGCCAAAACAAAACATGCACCATAAAGTAAAAAAAAGTATATCAAAAACCGAAATCCAGCTTTGATCTTATCCAAATTTTCCACCTACTCTCACGGTTTTTTCCCTCCCAACATTTTCAATCCTCTCACTATAAAACAACGTGTTCACAACAAAGAAAGGGGGAGATCAGTAGAAGAAAACCTAAGAAAAACTCTGTTGCAAATTCAACCAAGAGATCTCTCTCAAACACCCAAAAACCTCTACTACACCTTCTTCAACCATAAACCTCAAATATTATATAAACCTTTTTTTTCTCTCCATAACCATACCCACAGTCTGATACCAACAGTTAACCCACAAAACCTTCCAAAACCTATACACAAAAATCCCTTAAAACCGCAGTCAAAATCCATAACCTCCACCCTACACAAATCTGATTAATCCCAACCTTCTTTAAATATTAAACCTTATGCCTAATACCTTTTTCAACTCACATCTAATATATTATAATAATACAGCCTTTACAACAATTCACCAGCAATCTCATACCAATACACGGGGAAAAATTACAAAAGAAAAAAAAAGACAGTAAAAAAGAAAAAAACAATATAAAAAAACCCTATCAAATTCATCACTCAACCTCTCACTACCTCTGCATAAGCCTGTTACAGACCAACCATTACACAAAAAAAACTAAAAAGAACACGAGAGAGAAATCAACAGAAGAAAAATTGCCTCATACCTCTAAATTTCCCTGCATTCTCATCTGCAACTTCAACAACCTCACATGATTCATCATATCCATAACCTTCTTCCACATGAATCTTCTTCTCAATATCATGTATCCATAACCATAACTTCAACAACTTCACATCAACAACATCATAACTGATTCTTCTTTACTTCCACAACACTATAAGCATCAGAACCTCATTCCTCCTGTAGTAACAAGAATAATCTATAACTGCAAAAACTTTCTATTTTAGTGACATTAACTACACACTTCACTCCATAGCTCCACTCAGCCTCATGCTCAAAAACACAATACTCAATCAACCAAAAAATTATAGAAAAAAATCTAATACCTATCGTCGAATAGGATTTCAGATCGAACAAGAACATATCGGGTCTTTTTTCTCTGTAACTCATGCTATTTTGTTGTTCTTCATTTTCCATGCATGCTTTTAGTTTCAATTTACATCGCCATGTTATTTTTGTTTTGTTTCATTGAAGTTCACGGTTTTTCCAAAGTTGAGAGAGTAGAAAAGAAAGTAAGTCGAGAGATTGAAAGAGAGAGATTCGAGAGCGATTGAGAAGATGATTTTAGTTGTTGGTCTGAATCAAAACAAATTAAGTTATTGTTGTTACTGTAATTGGAATTACAGAGCGTGAAATGGGAAGTGTGTGGTTTTTATTTTGTTGTTGTTGTTGTTTTCGGTTTAGAGGATAAGAAATCAGAGATTTCGGTTAGAGTTGTTGTTGATGATAAGAGATCAGAGATCAAAAACTATGTCTCATTTTTTTAGGATTGTTTTCTCTTTAAGTTTGTCTCAATTGGGCTTCAACCCATTTCTGTTTACTAAGCCCATCAACATGCTTTTTACACCACCCTTTTATTCTGTATTTTGCTGAAAACAATAATGTTATTGGGTTTTACCCCATTCAAAGCCCATGTGAATTTAACTACTTCACCCCATTTTACTTTTTATCCATTTTCTTTATTTATTTTATTTATACAATTTCTATCTATTAGTTTTGTTTCTTTTAGTTCTCTGTTTAACCTATTAAAGAGTCAAGCATATTGGTTGCGTTGGTAAAACTTTGAGTTTGATAACCAATGTTCCCGGGTTCAATACCTGTAGGAACCATTTTTTTACCTTCTTTTACATTCTTTGTTTTATCTTCTAGATTTTATTTATGTTTGTTTATTTTAATTTCTTCTTTAAATAAATAAATAGAGTTTCATCTAATTTTGATTTCTTTTTCTTTGCACAAAAAAATTAAAAATATTAGAATATTTTAGATTTAGGATTTAATTTCCTTTTGAATTTAATATTTCATTAACTTGAAAAACCCCAAAAATATTAGAATTGTATTCTCTTTTATCTTAGGTTGATCGATTGATTCTTGATAACGTTTCCCTTAAGAATTCCATTATATGATTAAACTTTGTTTGGATCGTTTTAATGTTGAAGTAGATATTAGGTTTTAAACCTTGGCATATTAATTTTAGGATATAATTTCTATTTCAATCTAAACCTTAGGTCGACTTGGTATGACAATAACTAGGATTAAGTCTCCCATCAGACTTTCGTTTCTTTTACATTGCATCTTTTCTAAATTAAAACTAAAACTTATTTCCTTATTCAAAAATGCAAAAAAAAAACACTTAATCATTATTTAAACTCATTCCTTGCTTAACAAAAACACTCAACAAAACAAAGATTCCTTCAGAAGGGCATGTTATCTCCATTTTACCGCAATACAGGCTGTGCCTATTGCTAGAATGTGTGTGCTAACATCACCCACTAAAAAACACCAATAAACCAACATTTTCTAGAAGAACTACGGATGTTCTGATTCCTTCACGGGATACATAGGCAAAGGGTTGCAAGACCCTCATGAAAGCACTAATAAAAAAGCGTTTCATTTCCCTTTACAAGTATAATTTTAGATAGACGCACCCTTAGAAGCAAATAATCAAAATGGATCTCCTTGAGTACAACAAATGTGAGGGGTTCTAATATCTTCCCCTTGCATAATCGAATTTCATACCCTCTCTTTTGGTTGCAAGACCATCTTATCCATCCTCTTGGGGTTTTCTCGATATTTCCTCTTCCTTCGGGATAAATAAAGTTTGGTGGCAGCTCTATATTTTTAGCAGGTCGCTTTAGCTGGCGACTCTGTTGGGGAACTATGCGAGTTTATCCTAGTTTTGTTTGTTTGCTTCTTTGGGTGTTTATTTATTTACTTTATTTTCTTTACCTCTTTATTTCTTTATTGCTTTCTTTTGTATATATTGCATTGAACTTTTGCTACTCACCTATTTTGGATATGATGTATCTTCAGTGATGTTGGGGTGGGTGTTTTCATTTGATAAGTCCTATACACGGACTTGGGGTTAAACTTAAGATTAGTACGAACGGTACAATCATGTTAACTTTGAGGGAGTAATCCCGAAGAAGGAGACATGAGATCCCCCACTCAGTGGAGGCCCCTTTGATTGTAGTATTTGTTTATCAAGTAATCGGGGAGACATTGTTGCTTTTGATCTGGGAGCCTGCGAAGCTGAGAAGCCTTTGAACCCTTAACCCATCTTGGCCTATTAGGTGTAGTGTGGAGACTATGGTAGAGTAATTCGGAAGTTGTTGTCATTCTATGCTGCACTCAGATGATTTTTTCCTTCGAATATTACTAATTATCGAGTAATTTCGTTGTTGGTAATATCGATAGGAAGAGTGTAGACTTTGGGAGTTCCCTAGAACCTTGTTCGGCAGGTGATAAACCATTAGTACCTATCTTATGGGTGGTTACCTTGACTCCATGCTCGTGACGTCGAACCTTTGATCCTATTACTTTCAGTTTATGCAAAGGACTATACAATGGTTATCCAGAATATGTGGAGCTGAAATCCCATGCCATAGCATACCATGCCAACATACCATCATGTATATGCATCTCATATCTAAGGAATTCCAAACACAACTCTTGTTGGTTGAGCTCTTCAAAAATAAAAATTGTTAAAAGATACTTATGGGTAGACGAGTCTCTGGATTTCCCTGGAAATGAAAATGAAACATGCATTCATATTATCATGCATTCATTATTCATAACAAAAACTTATTGGGGTCCCATTTCAACTAGACTTCAGTGAACAACAAAGCAACCAACAAAGAATCATGGATCTCTTTGAAGAAAATCAGAATGCTCTCTGTCAAGATATAGACACCATGGGCACCCGAATGAATCAGCTTATGGAAACCCTTCATTATGTCATCAAGGGTCAAGAAGAGCTACATCAAAGTATTGCCAAGCTTGTCAGTACTTCCCCCTCCACTTTTGAAAATGGAGTGAATAATAATGCGAATGTTAAGACCCCTACGAGAATTCCTCGGAATGATGTTGATGATCATCACGGCGTCATTGATCTTGATGAGACCCACACGAATCTCGCTGCCGGAGTTGCTGAAACTACAAAAATGTACCATGCTCTTGAAGAACGTATCAAAGCTATGGAAGGTATCAAGACTTCGGGATCCAATACTGTTACAATGTGCCTCGTTCCAGGGGTAGTTATTCCTCCAAAGTTCAAGGTTCCTGATTTTGACAAATATAAAGGCACCTCTTGTCCAGAGCCTCATATTCGTTCCTACTGTTGCAAGATGGCAGCTTATGCTGAAAATAAATCATTGCTCATGCATTTATTCTAAGACAGCCTGATAGGGGAACCGTTGGACTGGTATATGCAATTAGAAAGAAATCATGTTAATACTTCGGGAGAGCTTGTTGACGCCTTTTTGAGACATTACCATTATAATACCTCCATGGCTCCTAGCCGCACTCAGCTTAAAGGGGTGACACAGAAATCTGAAGAATCTTTTAAAGAGTACGCCAAGAAGTGGCTTGAACTGGAAACAAGGGTCCAACCTCCTCTCCTGGATCGTGAACTGATTGATTTGTTCATGAGTACTCTACGAGGTCCTTATCTCCATAACATGCTTAGTAGTACCTCTACTTCTTTCTCAAATATATTTATTATTAGAGAACATGTTGAAACTTGTATCAAGGATGGAATGATCAAAGGTATCTGTAACACTACCAACAACAATACTAGCATTGGTAGGATGTCGTTTTTTGGTTTTGTCATGAAGAAAGAGGGTGAGACTAGTGTTGTCGCCATCGACAAAGGAAAAGCTTATGCATATCCTCAAGTTCGATTTCCTTATTTACTAACATCTGTTATCATTCCTAACCAATATGTTCCTCAATTGTATGCTCCTACAACTCCAGCACCCTGGATGGCCCAAAAATGGCCTTTCATTCCTCAACCACAGTATCTTCCACAACAACAATTTGCACCACCTCTAAATTACCAACAACAGAATCAGCAACCTCAAGGTCCGAGAATTCAATAGATACAAAGAGGGCCTGAGAGAAGATTTGATCCTATTCCTATGTCATACGCTCAACTTCTCCCTCATTTGCTGGCCAATTAGTTGGTTCAACTGCGTGAACTTGGTCCATCACCAAATCCCCTTCCAAGGGGGTATGATATTAATGCTAATTGTGAATTTCATTCTGGAGCCCCAGGCCATACAATTCAGAATTATAGAGAATTTAAATTTAAAGTTCAAGACCTCCTCCATGTAAAGACCATAAATTTCAACCATGTTGGTCCCAATATTTAGAATAATCCCATGCCTCCTCACCCAGGGGCAGCAGTCAATGCTATTGAAGAAGGTAGTGAGAAGATTCTGGTAACCAAGTTTGACGAGATCAAGATGTCACTGGGGACTGTTAGAGAACATTTTTTGAAACACGAGGTGCTGCAAGAAATCCATGATTTTTGCTTACTATGTTCCTCTAAACCTGAAGAGTGTGCTAGTTTGAAGACGGTTATCCAACAGCTAATGGATGAAGGTGTCTTGCAGGTAGAGAATATTTATCTAGAAGAAAATATTAATGTCTTAGAAATTCCTTATTATCAGAGGAACATCTCGGTAACACAATTAATGATTCAAGCTCATTAATGATTTCTTACTATGCTCCCACTACCCCATTAATGATTCAAGCTCCAATTACCCCCCGTGACAACTCAAA